CACTCACTCTTCTTCCTTGTGGGTGAAGGACTTGTGGCCATATGTGGATTGGGATAGGGATAGGTTAGAGAGTTTCTTGGGTATTGGAGCAGGTTTTAGTGACCAGGTCATAGAGTATATCCAATAGATTCTCATCTCGGACAACGATTCGGACGGTATGAGGTGGAGACTTACATCTTCGGGTGCATTTTAAACGACCTCGGCTTGGGAGGAATTATGGCTGGGTGATCGGCCTAACATTCTCTTCGGGGCCATTTGGACTAACCTGCTTACCCCGACCATCTATGTCTTCCTTTGGTGCCTTCTTATGCGCCGAATTCCGATCGACTCTGTCTTACAGACGATGGGAGTTTCTTTTCCATCGCTGTTCCACTGTTATGCTGAGACTGGTGATTTTCAGACTAAGATTGTTTCCCATTTGTTTTTAGAGAGCGAGGTTGCAAGGAGAGTATGAGAGTATTTTGCCACTTATACTCATATACCCTTAACCTCTACAGATAATTTTTTTGTGCTCCTGAGTTTTTTTTCCACACCGCACACATTTTTGATATGTAGGCCTCCTCATCCCTTGTTTGATCTTGTGGTTCATCTTGAAATGAAGGAATAGTTTGAAGCTTAGTGATATTACTTTTATGTGCTCTCACATTATTTGGCAGGTTGATTGACATCTCTCCCTCCTCACAGCTCTGGAAATTGCTCACATCTAGAGACTGGATAGGCTTCACGCTTCCCCACCACTTCATATCATCTATGTTGTCCTCTGTCTAGCACCCACGCCCCAGAGTCATTGTTTGGCTGAGACCCGACTCCCCTTGGGTTAAGCTAAATACTGACAGATCTTTCGACTGACTTACTGGAGTCGCCGGAGGCCAGGGCCTGATTAAGGATCACAGCGGAGCTCTCATTACTGCCTTCCACGCCTCACTTCAAGCCTTCTCAAGCTACGACGCAGAGGTTCAGGCGCTCCAGATCGGTCTTCAGATTGCAACCTCTATCTCTACTCATATTTGGATTGAGCTGGATGTTGTCGCTATCGCCACCCTCTTGACCTCGGGCCACTAGGGCTCATGGCAGATTCAGCACCTGCTCATGTGTATTAGATCCACACTTCAGTAGGTTCGTTACCGGATCTCGTACATCTTCAGTGAGTGGAATCGACCCGCTGACTACCTGGCGAGCCTAGGTGCTCCAACCCCATAAAGATGCACTTTCCACCTGGATGAAACCCCTCTCTATTCATGTGTGATTCTACACCATATTTATATAACATCAAGAGCTTATTCATTGCATTATTGGTATATAAATTGCATTATTGTGCTTTAATTATATTATTGTTGGAAAGGTATTACACGTACTTGTTTTGTAGATATTTCTACATATTTGTATAGCTTTTAGCTATTGGAGGCGCATGATGAGTACCTAGGAACCCCAGAATGATGAAAGATTGATGTACGAACGAAAAAATTGAAAAAACGAGTAAAACAAGCAAGAAGTAGTGTGTAGAGCTGACACGCGCAAAGACACGGGCGGTGATAGGGGCAGAATGGCCGTGTCACGTGCGCAGGTTGTTTTTTTTTATTTTTTTGCCAATTTTGAAAAAGAGAAGAGTTTTGGACATTATAAAAGGCATAATTACCCTATCATGAGAGGGAGAACCTGATACACAAAAGGAGAATGTGAGAAATAAGAGAGGAGCCTTAGAACACACAAGAATTGGGAAACAAAGAAGATCAACTATGAAGGAATCAAGAAGATTGAAATATCGACGAGATTCCTAGTTTTTCTTTCTTTTTTCTTTTGAACTTTTATTAATCATGTCGATTTATAATATGTCTATGTATTTGATTTCGAACATGAGTGGCTAATTTAATCGATTCTAGGACTTGGTAGTAGATTAATATTTTGGGATTTTAGATGAATTATTATAATTGATGGTTTTCTTTTGAACCCTATTCAAATATTTTGTTCTTATTTCATGTTTATCACTTGACCAATACTTTTACATGTTTGACAATATTGTTCATAACTCGAGAGATGAGTTCAATATTATGTCTTTAAGACAATTTACTTGCTCGAATCGAGAGATTAGTAGGTTGTTGTAAGGATATTAGATCTTTTAATCTATTTGGTTGTTGAGCGAAGATGCTAGTATATGTGAGTTAATTTACGATTTTATCGATCTCAAGAGAGACGATAAGCTAAAATTGTGATCATCTTATACGGTAGATAAAGAAAACATTTAGTTGTGATATTTTTGAAGGATCCTAACTGTTAATTGAAACCATAGTTTTAGAATCTCTCATTCCTATATATTTGTTTTACGTGTTCTTTAGTTAATTCGTTGTTCTTACATTATTTTTCTTTTATTTATTTTCTTAGATTAGCTAATCCATCTCATATTCCATCGTCTAAATAAAATTGACACTATCATAATCTTGTACTTGATATATTAATTATTTCGTCTCTCGAGATACGACCTTGCTTGACAGATACTAGGAGCGAAGCCGTACACTTGCGGTCGAGCTTTAAAAATATAGGCGAATACTCTCCGCGTTTGTACTCTTGTGCGGATAGACCAGGTTGGCTACCTCTCGTTTAGATTCTAATAGCCGTCTTGCATTTTTGTGCTTCGACTCACTTTGTGGAGAAGACTTTTCGCCTGGGTACCTGTCAGCCCAGGTTCAGACTTTTCGTTATGGTTGTTGTG